TGCTTTGTGAGGACATTCTGGATCCTCTTTGCTCCCAGGGGAACAGAATTATTTCCATTTTCATAGTCCAAAGGAATGCTCAGATACATTAACTTTTAAACTCTGGGTCAGGGTTCCGTGGAAATTCTTTTCCATAGCTGCAATGCTACCCTGGATTCCAGACATTTTACATCTGATCAAATGGAGTGATACTAGCTTCTGTGCTAGGAACATTTTAACGTATCTGCTTTTTCACCATAAAAGTAAATGAACATTTGATCTGCAGAATGCAAAAAGCATGAACATAGGAATAGGAGAAGTGAAAGAGAGAGGAACTGAAGTTACGGAAGAGAGGGATAGAGAGAAAAGGACCAAAAAAACAAACCAAACAAGTTGCCATCAAGTCGATTACAACTTATGGCAACTCTGGGTGTGTCAGAATAGAACCGCTCCATCTGTTTCTCAGTGGCTGTAATCTTTGCAAGATCAAAGACATATTCATTGGAAATACCTTTCTTTTCATCAACATAGATGGTGACTGACTACATACACGGACCTCACTGGATGGAACACACAGGAATCAAATTGACTGCATCTGTGGAAAGACGATGGAGAAGCTCAATATCATCAGTCAGAACAAAGCCAGGGGCCAACTGTGGAACAGACCATCAATTGCCCATATGCAAGTTCAAGTTGAAGCTGAAGAAAATTAAAACAAGTCCACTAGAGCCAAAGTACAACCTTGAGTATATCCCACCTGGATTTAGAGACCATCTCAAGAACAGATTTGTCACATTGAACACTAATGACCGAAGACCAGACGAGTTGTGGAATGACATCAAGAACATTATACAAAAAGAAAGCAAAAGGTCCTTACAAAGACAGAAAAAAAAAAAAAGACCAAAATGGATGTCAGAAGAGACTCTGAAACTTGCTCTTGAACATAGAACAGCTAAAACGAATGGAAGAAGTGATGAAGTAAAAGTAAAACACAATATCATCTATGCACACCTAGCTTTCCAAATGCCCTTTGGACCAGTTTTAACATCTCACGAATTCCCTTACTAATTAATGAAAAATCTTTGATATATGTTCATTTTATAATTCCATGAATGTCATTTTTTTAACCCTTTGAAGACCATACATTGGCAGAATGATTTTATTTTCCAAACAAATTTTGACAACTCTTTTACCTTACTTTCTGTTTTCTCTAAAATTTAACATTAATTTGCAATGATGATTCAAAGGAATTCATATATGTGCTAAAAATATGCCAGAAGTTTACTCTTTAAGTGTTTCTTACATATAATATGTCACATTTATTTTAGCATCTAGGGGAGAGTAGTAATTCCTAGGTAATTTAATAAACTGTACTTTTCTTACCTAGTTGTACAACATATATGGGAGGAATGAGATAGCATGTCTGACAATGCCTTGAGCTCCTCCTCAGGGAACATATGTGGATTGGAAATACTGGTATTAGACTATAGAAAACACAGTATTATATAGTGATCAAGCATACAGGTTCTGGAGTCAGATCCAGCGACACACAATTTATCAGCAATAGGATCTTGGACAAAAAGTACTTAAACTCTCTGTGCTACCTTTACCTCATGGTGCAAAGGGTTAACTTGCTTGACTGCTAATCAAAGGTTGGAGGTTTGAGTCCACCCAGAGGCAGCTTGCAAGAAAGGCCTGGTAAGCTACTTTAAAAAAATCAGTCATTGGAAACCCTGTGGAGCACAGTTACACTCTGACACATATGAGGTCACTGTGAATTGGAATTGTCTCGGGGCCAACTGGTTATTAAAATGCGGCCAGTAATAGTACCGATGCCATGGGTGATGCGATAATAAGTCAGATGATCAAACAAAACGCCTTCAACAGTACTTAGCGTATAATGTAGGCTATCATTATTATCATACCTGATAGTGGAGTTGGCTTGTAGCTAGCTTCTAGTTACTAGATTATTTTACTGACAATGGATTCCGTGGGAGAACTCAGACGCTGCCCGGGAAAATGATGCTCATTATTTATACTGCCTGGGGAGAGAGCCTCTGTTGCCGCAGACTTTGGCCAGAAACAGGTCTCCTGTCTGTTTCATGAGTCGGCTTTGACTCATTGCCAGGACTTTCAGGAAAATGGATTTGTAGCAGTTGTGAAGCTAAAGTCTTATCTAAGTTCCCAGGGCTGGTTTGTAAAATGGAAATAAGCTGTTCCATTGTTTTATTCTCCTTTATTTAGCTTCCAAGGAGCTGGTTCAGTGCACTGCCGTTTCCACATGTGAAAACTGGGTGAGGATTCTCTGGTGTCTTTGTTTTCCTTGTAGCTCGGGATGACATACTTGCTTTTGCCAACACTTCCAAGCACTGCATTGTCGTTCCATCTTAGTGGTAAAGAATAGTGAGCTTGACCAAATATTTTGAAAGCTAGACTTTGAAAATCGTTTGGTTGTTAATTAGTTGTTTTTTTTTTTTTTTTTGTCTTTTGTTTTGTTTTTCTGGTTAGTAACTGGATAAGCTCTAAGACGGGAACAGGGAAACAAAAAACCTCCGTGTTTCTTAGGATTATGGCATTCAGGAATGAGAATAAAAACAAAGATTTATCAAGAAAGTTTTGCTCTGATTCATAATGTGACCATGGAAGAGAAATGGAACCTCAGCATACCAAAATGTTTACTCCCTTTAAATGCAGTATGTGTCCCTCTCACCATCTATTACCCCCTCCCACAAGGCTCCACTGGGAGAAATGAGATGATGTGTCTGCAAATGCCTTGAGCTCCTCCTAAGGAACACACATGGTTTGGAAATGCAGGATAACAGGTGCAGAAAATACCAAAACAAGGCCCATTCCGCTCTACACCTGAACTATCACTTTGAGACAGAGAAAGGGGAATTGAGGGTGTCGTGTAGTGAATGACAACAAACTAGCATTGGTGGTGCAGTGGTTAAGAACCACGGCTGCTAACCAAAAGGTCAGCAGTTTGAATCCACCAGCCACTCCTTGGAAACTCTCTGGGGCAGTTCTACTCTGTCCTATAGGGTCGCTATGAGTCGGAATCGACTTGATGCCAGTGGGTTTTTGTTTCAGCATTGACAAAGGCTCCTGCACGTACAGTAAACCCAAGCCAGAGTAGTCTAGCCTGTGCTATTCTAAACTTCGGTTTTGTGGCTATTGTGTTCATAGACTCTGCTATTTCTAGTCACTTCCAGCAAGCAGCGTCAGTAGCTTCTTTTGTAACAGGAGGATCAGCATGCTTTACGTTGGAACCACTAGAAAGACTGTGTAATGTTTTCAACCTATTTTGAATTCAAAGCAACACCTAAATTTAGCTCGTTCAGATCGCACCTGAAATAATTCAGTTCCAGAGAATTTATTTAGCGCCCAAATAATCATAAAACCCATTGAGCAAACCCATAAGGTTTCCAAGGAGCAGCTGGTGGATTCGAGCTGCCAACCTTTTGGTTAGCAGCTGAGCTCTTAACCACCATGCCACTAGGGCTCCATAAATAATCACAGGCATTTAAAATTACTATGTGTTTGTCATATGCAGGATTTTTTGATGTCAAGTCTCACCTCTAGAGCTAAATTCACAGTTTTATTGTTTTATCCCTGTTTTATATGACAATCTACCTTATGACAATTTCAGGAGAGCATCTGTGCAAGAGGAGAGCTCAGCTTCACCAGGTTAGCATTATAAAGGACGTACTTGAATGACTAAAATATTCACCAATTTTTCGGAACGTGTTCTAGAATGGAAGTTACAGAAACAAGTGCTGAGGTAGTGGGTCAGCCTTCAAATTGTGAAATGGTACCTTTTCTTTCCTTCACGTTTTAGACTATTTTGCAATATTAGCTGATTTTTTGCCCCCTGGGCGTTTCCGTCTCTCCCTTGGCCTGTGCCTGTCCATCAGCTTGGCCATTCTACACTCACTGCCTCAGGGAAGGTATGACATAGCAGAGAACAGAGAAGAGAGGAGCCAGTTAGTGGCTTTTGAATCACAGAAGCCAAGGCCTTCAGGGAACCAGAAACGACAGATATGCCTAAGGAATGAATTTGGAAGAATATTTGTGGAGTGAGCTCCTGGGCTTGGAAACTTGACAAGCGCGCCCCTGGCTGCAGGGAGGGGGAAGGGTGGAGCAAGACACGAGAGAGTTTAGGTGGTGGTGGCCTCTGATACTTCTGTGCTCTGACTCTGTCAAGCTGGGCCTCCAGAAGCAGGGGTGAAGGATGAGGATGAAAACCCCAGATAGGTTTGGGGGGTCTTGGGAAGTAGAGAAGTCCTGTGCTCTTCCCTGGGTAGAACACTAGAGAGGAGTCAACACTGAGAGAAGGGCTCTGTCACATGTCTAGATAGACGGAACCAGAGTTCCCATCATGCCAGCAGAGGAAACCTGAAGGACCTGGTTGCGGGGACTCCTTGTTGACCAGCATGTATCTATAATGGGGTCCAGGTGGGATGACAGCCGATACTGTAGACCCACCCCAGCAAGATTCGCCATCTCCCATGCCTTAACACCTCACAATCGCCATGGAACTCATACCTAGTGCCGGGAAATGGAGGGAATCCTGAATTGATTGTGTTTTTTTTTTTTTCCCTGACACTTCAGCAAAATGACATCTTGGAGAAGTTAAGTAGAGTTCTAGAAAATAAACACATTTATTGAACCTTAAGTTTGTAGACTGAGCTCTGGAACTGGCCCATGCATGGTTTCCACCTTTCCTTTCTGCATACCCCTTCCCTCAGACTTGTCCTCCTTCCCTTCCTCAAGCAACACATATCCTCACGTACTGTCCTGTGCCTATTGAAATTTGATGTCAGAAGAGGAACCGACACACTCTTACACCAAGGTATAAGTGGATGATAAAATTTAAAGGACTACCTCACCCAGAGAGATTTGCGTTTTGGCAGGGATTAGAACTTTAGGCCAAAAAAGCAAATTCTTTTTTTTCTTTTTTAGTCAGATTTATTGAATTATAAGTTACATACAATAAAATTCATTCAATAAAATTTTAGGCAAAAAATATAGAACACTTCACGAATTTGTGCGTTATCCTCACACAGGGACATGCTGATCTTCTCTGTATCATTCCAATTTTAGTACACGCGCTGCCGAAGCGAGCACCAAAAGAGAAATTCTTAACTGGGAATTCTGGGTTTCCATTAAATGGTGGATCTATCCCTTGCACGGTTCCTATAATCAGCGCCCTACTATGGACTTTGCCTCCCACAGAATGGAGAAACGACATGTTTAATAACTATAGGTTTTTCATTATTGCCCCCAAGAAGCCTTTTTAGACATTTTATTCCTAATTGCCCTCCTCCATGAAATTTTAATAGCACAGAGATACTATATATATTTCTTAATGTAATTTATATATGTGTATATATATATAACATATAAATATATAAAACACGTATATATATGGTATATAAACACATATATACCAGTTGCCATGGAGCCAACTCTGACTCATGGCAACCCCATATGTATCTGAGTAGAACTCTACTCCATAAGGTTTTCAACGGCTGATTTTTGGAAGTAGATCACCAGGCCGTTTTCCCGAGGCACCTCTAGGTGGACTCAAACGTCCAACCTTTTGGTTAACAGCCAAGTGCCTTAACTGTTTCCACCACTCCTGGACTCCTTGCTCTCTCTCTCTCTCTCTCTCTATATATATATATATGCATTTTATTCATGAAAAGAATAAGAGTTTATTTTGTCCCCGAAGAGCCAACTGTTGCTCCCTTGGGGAACACAGCATCCTCACTGAAAATGTATGTTAAGAACCAATGCAAGACTGAGCCCATAAAACTATGAAAAATGAAAAGGGCCTACCGCTCCTCCCCCCATCCCCCTACTTTGAAATAATTCCTGCTACATGTAAGAAAGTGTGTTAATAAAGACGGAGAATTTTCTCATGCTACTCACTGGGTACTCACTGCCTCAGGAGGTACAATGAACATATTCCTGGGAAGTGCAGGAAGAGCTGGTCTTTATTCTCTGAACTTGTTAAAATTAATCTGTGCTTCAGACTGGAATCTGAGACACCTAACTCACACCAAAGTGTTCCTATAAACAGTGAGCCAACCCAATCTTTTAAAAATGCCCTGGTTGAACCTTTCCCACAATTGCCCTTTGTTACAGTGGCATGACAGGGTACTTTATAAGCTGAGTGCTTATAATGAACTGTTGTATACACATGCTGTGATTATAAGAGGCATAATAACAGCTCACGTTTATATTGCTTGCTTTCATCTTAGTAAATCCCAAGGCACTTTACACATTATATCATTAATAATAAAATAGGTAAATACATTAATTAAAGCATTCCTCTTTTTAAATGTATACACTATATAATAGATTATATGAGTCTATTATTATACAAAAATGTGAACCATCTAGTTAGCACTTGTAGACGAGTTGCGTTGTCTCATCGTCAGTATTGCACAGCACTAGGGCAATCCAACTTGCTTCGGAAAGATGGCTTCATTTGTTTCCATCTGGTAGTGGACTTAGCTCAGCAGCAGTGAAGTCATCCGTCCGTCTGTCCGTCTGTCCATCCGTCCATCCATCAAGCATCTGTTCCTGGTCTTCATCTGCCATGTGACGAGGTCTATCCTAGGTGCTGGCTAGGACTATCTTAGGTGCTATTTATTTGACAAATACACAGGCAGCAAGTCGGGAATGATCTTAAGGCAAAGAAACTGCAGGAAAACTGCAGGGCATGGAAAATGTGCAGCTTTCTTCCTGGAACTCACGTTGGGTGTGACAGTAACTTTATGCATGTATTCGCACACGCCTGACACTTAAAACTCTTATGACTCCATTAAATCCAGCCAAAGCCACAGTGTGTGCTCATCCTGCAGTGCCCAGACAAAGATACACATCTGCGCAGATTCACAGCAATGGCGTTTGCAGCTGCTTTTCCTTTGAGAGACTTACGTTGTTCCCAAAGAGGAAGAGGTTGCCTAATTTGCTCCACAGCCCCAGCCAAGCTGCAGCCAGTATGATGTGTACTGGCTTGTTTCATTCACACTGGCTGGTCTCATTCAGCCGACCTGGGGCATGTCCATGAGTCTCAAGCAAGTCTTCCCAGGAGAGAGGCTGGTGTTCTTCTCACCAGGCACGGACGGCATACCTACAAATATGAGCAATGGGCAGCTGCCTCTGGGGTCTGATTTAGGGTTGCTGGAAGACTTCATGCACCTCATAGATATTTCCCACCAACTTGAAAATGCCAAAGAGCTAGCATTAAGGACATACTCTTTTGAATCTTTAAAGGATTTTTACAGTCTAGAACAGCCTGTTATCTCCTGATTTCTTGGTGAGGGTCACAGAATCAATGCAAAGAAGCGAGAAGGCGAGGTGGCAAGTTCTGTCAACCTCACTGATGTTGTTGTTGCTGTTAGGTGCCATCAAGTCAGTTTCAACTCATAGCAACCCTACGTATAACAGAAGGAAACACTGCCCAGTCCTGCGCCATCCTCACAATCCTTCTTATGCTTGAGCCCATTGTTGCAGCCACTGTATCAATCCATCTCACTGAGGGTCTTTTTTTTTGCTGACCCTCAGCTTTACCAAGCATGATGTCCTTCTCCACAGACTGGTCCCTCCTGATAACATGTCCAAAGCATGTGAGACGAGGTCTTGCCATCCTTGCTTCTAAGGAGCACCCTGGCTATATTTCTTCCAAGACAGACTTGTTCATTCTTCTGGCAGTCCATGGTATATTCGATATTCTTCCCCAACACCATAATTCAAAGGCATTAATTCTTCTTCGGTCTTCCTCATTCATCGTCCAACTTTTGCATGATATAAGGCGCCTGAAAATACCATGGCTTGGACCAGGCACACCTTAGTCCTCAAAGTGACACCTTTGCTTTTTAACACTTGAAAGAGGTCTTTTGCCGCAGATTTGCCCAATGCAATGCGTTGTTTGGTTTCCTGACTGCTGCTTCCATGAGTATTGATTGTGGATCCAAGTAAAATGAAATCCTTGACAACGTCAATCTTTTCTCCACTTATCATGATGTTATTCATTGGGCCACTTGTGAGGATTTTTGTTTTCTTTATGTTGAGGTGTAATCCATACTGAAGACTGATCTTTGATCTTAATCAGTAAGTGCTTCAAGTCCTCTTCATTTTCAGCAAACACGGTTGTGTCAACTGCATATTGCAGGTTGTTAATGAGTCTTCCTCCAATCCTGATGCCAGTTCTTCTTCATTGATACCCAGAGAATTCCTCTGACAGCTGTGGCATATGCGTGCCTGGTACTGCTTACCTGACTTGTCCCAGTAGAGAATGTTCAGGCTGCTCCAGAATGCACCAGATGTTCTTTATTTCCTCTCCAAATTCTCTACTATGCACAAGAAACAGGGAGAAAGAGTATCATTTGTTCTTTCCATGAGAAACATTTTGCCTTGGTAGAAGCATGACCCCGAGGGATAGGAAATTTGGGCTTCGTTATGGATTAAACTGTGTCCTCACAAAACATGTGTTGGAATCCTAACCCCTATACCTGAGCATGTAATCTATTCTAGTGTAAAGTAATCACTTCCCATAATGCAATCTACTGTAGTGAATCAGTTAATCAGTTGAGGTAATACCAGTGTAAGGTAATCACTTCTGAGTTATATAAAGAGCAGCACAGACGTTGAGATACATGCAGATACAGGAGGGAAACAGATTCTATCTGATGACAGAGGAGGCAGATGAATGTATAAGCCCAGGAAGTCCACGGATTGCTGGCAGCTACTAGAAGCTGAAATAGACAAAGAAGGACCTCCTCCTAGAGCCGCATTCTGAATTTGAACTTCTAGCCTCCTCAACTGTGAGAAAATAAATTTCTGTTCTTTAAAGCCACCCACTTGTGGTATTTCTGGTATAGCAGCACTAGGAAACGAAGACAGGCTCTGCTACCCCAATGTTACTGGCGTTTTCTAAGACACTGAAAATTTTACCTCTCTGAGCCTCAGAAATCCACCCTAAAGTGAGAGGATAACATTTCCTGTCTCAAGACAGGAGGCTGTGCAAATGAGGGTCATTCTTACTCTGAAATCCTTGGTTGTGTGATTGGCTGAGTCCTGTCTGTCATCAGTCTCACCGTGTCTAGCGACCCTGAGAGCATACCAGCTCCGTGGGCACGTGGCCTGGCCAGCCATACAGGGCCCTGCACTCAGAAAACTCCTGCAAGTCATTCAATGCTCTTCCGTCGCTGCCTTGAAATTCTGAATAATTTTTGAACAAGGAGCCTGTCTTAGCTTCCCAGGGCCACCGTAAGAAAGTGCCACAAACTAGGCAGCTTAAAACAACAAAAATTTACTCTCTCAGGTTTCTGGAGGCCAGAAATCTGAAGTTGAATTGTCAGCAGGGCCATGCTCTCTCTGAAGGCTCTAAGGGAAGATCCTTTCTTGTCGCTTCCAGCTTCTGATCACCTTGGTGTTCCTTGGCTTGTGGTAACATACCTCTGTAATTTCTGTTTTCATCTTCACATGGCGATTTTCTCTGCGTGGGAGGCAGGAGCTCATGGTCACTCCACACAAACCGGAAGATGAGGTCTCTCCATATTTCTAATGCTGTTTCTCCCAGTACCAGAATATGTAGATCTGAAAACTAGAGGGTGGAAGTAGGAATGACACCCCTCAGTATTACATGTAATGACTCACTTCAGATACCTTTCTCCCATTTTTGCTACCTGGACTCTTCTTCTCAAAGAAGGAATGCCCCCTAGGGGGTCTGATTGAATTAGAAGTGGAGACTGCCACCTGTTTCTGTTATTTGCTGCTAGGAAACCCGAGCAATACTGTGGGCAATGGCCTGGAAGCAGCAGGTCAAGAGGCAAATCATCAGTTCTCCCTCCTATTCTATGGTAAAGTAGGTGTGAGGGGGAAATAGCTTTCACTTGGGTTCGCCACCAGGGGAAGCTGTATCTGCAGAGTCCATAGGGGGCAGAGAAGGTCAAGACGTGAAGGGCAGTGTCTTAGTTACCTAGTGCTTCTGTAACAGAAATACCACAAGTGGATGGCTTTAACAAAGAGAAATTTGTTCTCTCACAGTTTAGGAGGCTAGAAATCTGAATTCAGGATGCCAATTCCAGAGGGAGGCTTTCTCTGTCTATTGG